GCCGAAATAATAAGTCCGAAAAATTTAAATGAAAATTGTTGCAATACCTCAACTCAGAAACACACACACACACACACACACACACATATATATATATAATAGTGAAATGTTTAATGGTCAGTGTTGGATCATATATATATATATATATATATATGAAATGGAAAAAGTTCAACAATTATTTTAAGACATTTTTATGTTCATACATTCTTTTTTATAGATACAAATATTTAAATAAATGCTCTGTTTATAATAAACAGTATTAACAACATTTACCAGCCTGAATGTCAGAAAAATTGTCATAGAAAATATGCGTCCCCCGACAGGAATCGAACCTGTGCCCTATATGGAACCGTATATAGCCTGACGTGCTTTTACCGATTTCGCCACAGAGGAGTGTTTCGGTTAGCAAGGTCGATTTTTACTGTTTTTAAACTACAATTTTCCATGATTTTCTCACGTACATTCATATCTACTCGATGCGTATCCAAATGTAAACGAATGACGTCACATATTATGAAATGGACAAAGTCCGACAATTATTTTAAGACATTTTTATGTTTATACATTCTTTTTTATATATAGTTGTAGACAAAATTATTCGCCCCCACTGAATATTCGTATATTTTCTGAGGAAATTTTTGTAAGTACTTACTCAATTTACCATAAATAGTTGATTTCGTATTTAATTTTGAATAATTCTTCAAATTCTCAGAAGTTTCGATCTATTATATTCATAGGTATATATTTTTCTAAAAATTGGTGCAGTCCAAAATGATTCTCCCCTCCCATGTCAATTGTAATGTTTTTGGTTTTTTTTTAAATTTAACATTTAATACAAACACTCTTTGAAAATGAAATAGTATTGACCTGATTCTATAACATTCTAAAAGTTAATGAAGAAGATAATATGAGAGGGCCACGTCCCACGATAACTCATTTGTTCTGAAACTATGGCGAAGATGGCTGAGCTTGACAAGGAACCCCGAGTAAAGAGAGTTGACGCGTACAAACAAGGTTATGGATATACAACAGTTTCCAAGCGTTCAAAAGTTCCTAGATTCAATTCGTAGCATTATCTGTAAGTACAATGTGCTGAGAATACATTAAGGACTGGCAAAATAAAACGGTTAATTTCTGAGAGAATGGAAAGGAAAATTGTCAGGGAATCCTTATTTAATGACAAAGAACATTGCCAATGATATAAAGACATCAGAGTTGAATGTATCGACGAAGACAGTCACTGAATGTCTTCACCGAGCAGGACTTCGAGCTGGTCGCTCTAGGAAAACACCCTTGAGGAAGGCTAGACATGTAAAATGCAGTTTAACTTATGCTAAAAGTCATCTAGAACATGGGAGTAAATATTGGAACTGTTTTATGGCCAGATGAAACCAAACTAGAATTATTTGGTCATATGAACTCCTGTTATGCATGGAGGAAAATGAATGAAGTTCACACACCAAAAATACCCCCCCCCCGCCTAAAATTACGCAAGATGGACCTCTGGGGATTTTTTGCTGCTTCTGCACGAGGAGAACTAGGGAAAGTACAGGGTATCATGGATAAATTGCAGTATTTGGCTATTCTTAAAAATAGTATAAAACAAAATGCATGAAAGCCATCTTTGGGACGTCATTGGATGTTCCAGTATAGAAATGACCCAATACACACAGCACGAATGCTTAGAAAATACTAAGATGACAGCAAAATTAAGATATTGACGTAACCCACACAAAGTCCTGACCCATTGAAAATTTATGGGCATACTTAAAGAAAAAGTAAGACAAAGAAGTCCTCTAAATTTGGAGGACTTAAAAGCTATTGCCAAGGAAGAATGGAACTAAATATCGATCAGTGTGTGTAGTGATCTTGTAAGGATCTCTCAAAAATAATTAAAAGAATAAGGTTTACACAATTGATTATCGACGCAAGAGGGCCAATAATTTTGTTCTATGTTAAATGTTTTTTGGTGATTTTTTTTATATTATTGTTTGACATTAAAATGAAAATTTTGTTGTGGGCATCACCGTCCATTCTTTCAAATCCATTATTTAATCTTTTGTTAAAAAGGCACACGAAGTTTCCATGAAAATTTGAGGTATCAGAGCTTTTTTGTGTAATTATGGAAACGGGTGTGAATAATTCTGCCCACAACTGTATATATATATATATATATATATATATATATATATATATATATATATATATATATATTTACGGAATAGACGAAATCCAACAATTATTTTAATTTTAATTTTTTATTGATACAATTATTTAAGTAACGGCTCTGTTTATAATAAACAGTATTAACAACATTTACCGGCCTGGATGTCCAAGAAATAAAATAGAAAAAAGTGTCCTCCGACAGGAATCGAACTGTATCCTATACAGAGCCGTTATATGGCCTGACGTGCTATACCATTTAGCTACAGAGGAAGCGTCTGGTTAGCAAGGTCGAATTACAGTTTTTAAGCAACAAATTTCCCATGATTTTTCTCGAACGTTCATATCTGATCGAAGCTAAGTTTACGATAGAATCAGGAACCCGCCGCAAGTTTTGTACAAATATTTTTGGATTGTGTCATGGATTAGCAGCGTCTACCGTAAACTTTATACTTTACTCAAAAAAATGGACGATTTACGGACATATTTTTATATGGACTTTTGTCTTTGTTTAATGCGAGAAACCCACCTCCAAAGTTTGTAAAAGTATTTTTGATACACACTGTATATATAAAATGTTTTCATCGTTGTATTACTCAAATAAAGTACATTTTATTAGTCTGTTATTTGCTCTAATTTCTGGGAGTAAATATAGCAAAGAAAAAATGATGTTTGCAATCAGTCTTTTTGCATACAGGATAATTCTAATATGATTTAATCCTGTAACATATTTTTTGATGGCTACTTTCTCATTCATCATGGGTCAGGGATCAATTTGAAAAGATTTTTTTTTTTTTTACAAATATTCTCAAACTAGCAGGATAACCCGTCTTCGATCGGGTGTTTCATTACTGGAAATTTTTCCGTTCACTTGGAACCGTTTAAGTTTAAAGTCATCCCACCCGAAGATCAATATTAGCAACAACAACTGGGTGCAATTGAGCCCTCCACCCAAATGGAAGGATTAACAATTTGAAGGGTGGCCGGAAAAGGTCATTTTTGCGTTCTCACTCTTGCAAGGAAGGAACCTCTTCCATGGACCGACATAATAATAATGTACGATGATTTTTATTTATAATATATTTCTTTTTTTTTTATAATTCTAATAATCTTTTGCGTTAGATTTCAACTCTCTAAATTGATTGTACGCTGTTTTTTACAGACATTAAATTTGTCTTTGATTTTTGCGCAAAGTGTAAAAAAATCAGTTTTTTTCGATTTTTCACGGTTTAGGTTGTAATTTTTTTTCCAGCCAATTTGGACTCAAAACCGGCACTGAAGAATTATCTAACAATAAAAAAAAAAAAAAAAAAAACGAAATCGGATGCAAACTGTGGAAATGCATAAGCAACATCGATCACACACACACACACACACACACACACACACACACACACACACACACACACACACACACACAGAGATACACACTCACATTTTGAGAATTATAGTCGCTATTTTGTGCTATTCCCAAATGTTGTCCGTTCTATCTCATTTTCATAACTGTTCAACACTTATGACTGCCATTTGTCGTGATCTCTTAACATCTCGCTGTCAACGAGAAGTGTGAACGAGTCTTCGCCCGCACTGATTAATATAGACAGTTCCTGTTGCTAGTTTTTAAATCAAACTTTCTTTTATTTTCTAAGTTGGTCCAACCCAGCAGAAGATAGAACTGAAATTAGAGAAAAAGTGTAACATTTTAACAGCAGCATGTGTGGTGATTGGTGACTACGTCCGTTGTTTCATACTGAGCCGTATCAATTGTCTCACTACGGTAGTTTTAACAACTGTCTTCAGTCCAAGACATCAAAGTCGCATTGTTTCTGTTTCTTACTGAAAGTTAAATCATGAGATAGCTTTTCTCATAGTTTAAATTGCACAACGCATATAGATTGTATTGGCTAGTTATACTTTCCACACTAGAGAAGTCTTGCCGACTACTTGTCAGTGACGGACAGGGTAAAGTTAGAGAACTTATAGTCCTAGGATTTTGCAGACCCATGTGTTCATTTCCAAGCAAAAAATTATCGTTTGGTGGGTTGATTTTCTTTAGCGACATATCAACACCTCTATGGGTTATTTAATACCGAAATCTAAATATTTTGATTGGTTTGGTTGCTTGATTTTGTTTAGCGGCATATCAACACCTCTATGGGTTATTTAATGCCAAAATCTAAATATTTTTATTGGTTTTGCTTCTTGATTTTGTTTAGCGGCATATCAACACCTCTATGGGTTATTTAATGACGAACTCTAAATATTTTTTGTAAGCAATCTTATTTTATTTTTGGAGATAATAATTGTTTAGTGACACAAGTCTTATTAATTAACCCATAGCTGGGGGAGAAGAGGTGGATTCATGCCTTTCCCAAGAGTATTTGCGCGTAAGTGAATATAACGAACCCGACTGGAATTGGAACTCGGCTCTTCTATTAACAATTCTGAGTCATTATCCGTCACACCACCCGCACATCCACGCATACAGCACCTGGTATTCCTAAGTGCTCACCCATCTAGCTACTGACCAGACTCGACGTTACTTAACTTCGATTTCTCATTCCGAGCCGTTATCCATTACACCAACCGCACATCCAAGCTTACAGTACCTGGTATTCCCAAGTGGTCACCCATTTAGGTATTGACCAGGCTAGACGTTGCGTAACTACGATTTCTCATTCCGAGTCGTTATCCATTACACCAAGAGCACATCCAAACTTACAGCACCTGGTATTCCCAAGTGCTTACCCATCTAGTTACTGACCAGACTCGACGTTGCTTAACTTCGATTTCTCATTCCGAGCCGTTATCCATTACACCACCCGCACATCCAAACTCACCTGGTATTCCCATGTAGTCACTCATCTGGTTACTGACCAGGCTCGATGCTGCTTAACTTCGGTGATTGGACAGGAAGCGATGTTTCAACGGGATGTGGCAGTAAGCACTTGCTGCCGGATGTAGTTCATCATCATACCCAGGATTAAGCATTCTTGATAATGACTTTAGTGATAATACTACTTTAATATGACGTCATAATTTAATCATTTATAATGTTTGGCAGCTCTTATCCATATTTGATTGTCTAGCCAATCCCTATTGGAGACGCCTGCTCAGTAAGGTTCGTCTTGGCTGCAAAGATCTAAGCTGTTGGCATTAAATAACGATAGGCCTGCAACGTTGCTTCTGTGTGATATAAACTGGGCTGTAGCGGTGAAAATAACGCATAAGGACAACTCGTTCATTTTCTTTCTTTCTTTTTTTTTCCACCAGCTGAATGTTACGTCATCATTGATTTCATTTGTTCTGTCGATGTGGTGTCGAGTTAAAAGCAAAACCCAAAATGGCGAACGTTGAACTGGATACAGGATTGCTTACGGCTCAGGTCACTTCCATTACAGACAAAGACCGGGAGAGATGAACGAGCCACTTGGAAGAATGGAAGGTCGACAAAGTCAAAATGGTGGGTGGACAGAGGTTAATCCGGGTCCCAGAGTCACATAGAGGTTAATAAGTGCAGTAAGTTGAAAACTAGCCTGTCTCCAGAACGATCTTGAATAACTGATTAGCAATAAAGAGAAATCAGTCCTGACTAGCTGCGTGTGTATACGCAGATTACGCACACATGAAGAACTGTAATCAAGCGTAAACCGCCACACACACACACACACACACACACACACACACACACATATATATATGGTTTACGCTTGGTTACAGTGATATATATATATATATATAGTGTATCGCTGTAAATATGTAATACACACACACACACACACACGCGCGCGCACACACACACACACACACACACATATATATATATATATATGGCGGTTTACAACGATTACAGTGATATATATATATATATATATATATATATATATATATATATATATATATATATATATATATATATATATATATATATATAAAGTGCGCAGGTATGCAGAAAATGGAAAAGAACACGTTGGGTGCATAATCCGGAGTTCCTTAGTATTTTGTTTTTTATTTTTAAGAAGACAGTGCTCCATATATAAGTAGAGCTTTATTATAATAATATATTTTTTGTTGTTGTTGTTTTGCTTAAAAATTTGATCATATTTTTAAACAAAATATATATATATATGTGTGTGTGTGTGTGTGTGTGTGTGTGTATATATATATGCCAATGTCAATGTGTCACACTTTTTCAACTTTACACCTAGAGGTCGTAGCCAACATATCATATCATTTTGGAATCAGGCCGACTCCATGAGCAAATTAAAAAACATTTCAGACCAGTTCCGGATCGGCAATCCTGAAAATTTGGATTTCAAAGTTTTCATTACTGCGAATGTTTTCAGCAATTTTTTATACTTGATTTTTTCTGACGAATTCCTTTGTACGATTTTATAACTTGGAAATAAATTTTGGAATAATTTAAATTAATTATGAAAACTAGCGAAAGTCACGCATAAAATAAAAATAATTGTTTGTACGGAAAGTAAGGACCTACGTACATCAAATTTTCTTCAAATTAAGTGGCGACAGAAGAATTATCGTTGACCTTTTAAAAGGTAAGCTTAAATATTAATGCAATACTTAAATGCAGCAATCAATTTTGAATTCTTTCGTAGTTTATTGTTGCCTATCGCATACGGCAGCAGTATGCCTCGCCAAAAGAAAAATCAGCCAACAGAGGCTCAGATTGCAGTTAAAAGAGCCAACGATGCAACGGGGAAAAGAAAGCCCCATGCAAATGAAATCCCAGATCAAACGGCAACCAGGAGAGCTTCAATGCTGAGAATATGCAAAGACTCAAACTCCTGAACTAACTAAAGGTCCAAACAAGTGCTTAAATACCACCCTTGGCTAATATACATATATATATATATATATATATATATATATATATATATATATATATATATAATGAACAATAAATCCAAAATTACCTCATATGGGTAATAGCCTATTTCGGCTAGATTCCCGGTTTAGATTGAGTTCGTATCTATCCAGTTAGTAAGCCGGGGAATAGAATTTAACTGTGAATGCTTAAAATCCAAGCTGTCGAAAAATTAGTACAGAATTTATCCATTTCAATGTTTCAGTCAGACGAAAGGCACGAGACATGGGTCAGGGGAGGGTGGAAGAAGTTTTTTTAAAATTAAACCCGAATATTAACCTTATGACATTAATTTGATGTTATATGAAGAATGAAATATTAATCTAAAATTAAAAAAGGAGTAAAAAGGGGTTTGAAAATAGATTTAAAATATAAAGATAAAAAGATGTAAAGGATTAATGGAGAGAGAGTTTGGGAAATCTTAGAGTAGGGGAAAGTTTAGAAATTATAATTAAAATAAGTAAAGAGTTTATAGAGGTGGGGATATATAGAAATTAAAATTAGTTATACTTTCGACCTTTGAAGTGTCAGAGGGGAGTGAATATTATGGAAATGTAGCTAATTAAGTTATACCTATATTATGGAAATTTGAATTTGTTTTTATGTCGACATTTTAACGCTAATTCATTCCTCCGATTTAATAGTTGTCTTTGATTATCGTATTTTATTATTATATTTTTTTTCTACTTAACATAAGTCACGCCTTTCTCTAAGACTATTAGGAGTACGGGCGGAACCTATAATCTTCTAAACTATCCGCAGGCTCAAACCTTTCTCCTTCAGTTCCCATCATTTTTTGAAAGAGCTGTCTGGTGTTTTAGTTTCGGGTTAGAAAATGTGTGCCTATATGTATAAAATCTCTGTTTCCATATATTGCTCTGTATTAATAAATACACTGAACTGTTTTTGTGGATCAGTTTGAATATTTTATATTACTAGGATCCACTTTGGTTATATAACCTTTACTATATATATATATATATATATATATATATGAAGAAAAATATGGAAAAACAAAAATCCGAATATGCAAGTATGCTGTTTTAATGTTGTTTCAATGTCGACGTCAGACGTTTCGGTCTAGTAGATCTTCTTCAGGACATAGTTATTAAAACATAATTAACATTAGACGATATTCAAATCAACATGAAAAGACGATAGACATAAGACTAATCAAAACAGAATAACTGAAATTTTTAAGATCAGCGTTCCGTTTCGTAATACGATCACGTCGGCGTCACGTGGGCGATGTTGTGACAACGTATTTCTAAAATAAGAATGTCTACTAGACCGAAACGTCTGATGTCGACATTGAAACAACATTAAAACAGCATACTTGCATATTCGGATTTTTGTTTTTCCATATTTTTCTTCATACTGTCGGATCTATATCCACATATTTGCTTATATATATATATATATATATATATATATAATGCGATCTAATAATTTTTTTCTTTTCAGATGATAAATTATATAAAAACTGTCCGAATGTTTTTTTTTATCCGAGCGCTTTCAGCTATACATTTAGCCTTTTTTCCTTTTAATTATTATCATGAGTGTTAGTATTAAAACATAAATAAAGTTTGTCTATTCATGGCTGTTATAAAGAAATGATTGCACCACCTGAAGAAGGCCGGAGCGTAAAACGGCCGAAACGTAATAAATATGGCGACAAAGATGTGGAAAATACTTCGAATAATGTAAATAGTGAGAAATGATTGCATTTTTTCCCACCACCATAAAGTTGCCTTCTTGTGGTTAAAGTTTGAAGAGATTTTAAGAATTAAATGAAGTGGAAAGATTATATTGAATCAATTGCTTGGTCTGCTGCTAAGAAAGTTGGTTCACTGTGTCGGGCTTGACAATTTTTCTCTCCAGAATTTATCTTACATATCTATAAGTCTTCCATTCGTCCATGCTTAATATATTGCTGCCACATCTAGCCTGGTGCTTCTGCTATACATTTCAGAACAACAGGTGAAGATTTCCAACAAGCAGGAAAGCAACAACAACCTTCCTGGTGTTATCAGTTCCGATCTCGGCTGATGACCCAACAATTTACAAAGAAGAATCAGCAAATAGCAGGAAAGACCAGGTGCCTTGGATGGCAACTGGTCTATCACAAAAAAAAAATGGCAACCTACTGCGGGAAAAAATCTGCCTCGCCAGTCATGTATCGAAAGATACATAACGCCTAAGCGTGTACCACGCATGGCACATAACTGACTAGATTGGCGGCAAGGTTTCGTCATTTTATGGTTGAAATATCTAGATGCAACCGTGAGTTCTATGCTAACAGTTTCTTCTCTTGCATTTCTTGTTTGTGGAACATTCTTCCGGCTTTTTGCTTTCTAGTCAACTTTGCTCTTCAAAAATATAAATACAATGTCAATGGTTGACTTTTGTCTTCTTAATTCCTGTTCTTTTATTGTTTCTGTAACATTAACAATGTCTTTTTCCTCACGTGTACGCTGATTAACCCCTCGCGTCTTAGTGGCTTAATTGCCGTGCTTAGGGAGAAATGATTAAAAAGAATATGCGTCGAATATGTTGGTATGTATGGACTTGATAAGAAATCTTCATCAATCCATCGTTGCTGTGGTTTTTCTTTTCACCATTGTGCTTGTGGCCCGTAAAAGCAAATTTTTCACTTGGCTAAAGAAGTCACGATTGGGTTTCGTTATCGGTTTATTGATTTGAAGAATTATGAATGATGGATCCAGAATCCGATTATGCCTATGCTCTTTCATATATTAAAACATACATAATTCTTTCATTTTTTTTCTTTCTTTTTCTTCTTTTCGACATTTCCTTGAAATTTTTTTTAATCATTACTCTCTTTTCTTTTGAGCTTTTTTTCTGTTTTTTTTTCTACCTTTTTCTTCTCCTACCAGATCCTTGTTGATTTATTCTTTCTTTCTTTCTTTCTTTCTTTCTTTCTTCAACCATATCTCTGGTGATTCATTCTAAATTTTTTGTTTGTTTGTTTGTTTGTTTCTTTCTTTCTTTCTTTTACACGCTCTCATACCATAGCCCTATTGATTCTTTCTTTCTTTCTTTCTTTCTTTCTTTCTTTCTTTCTTTCTTTCTTTCTTTCTTTCTTTCTTCTACCATATTTCTGTTGATTCTTTCTTTTTTCGTTCTCTTACACATTCTCCTACCAGACGCCTATTGATTCATTTCAGATTCTTTCTTTCTTTCTTTCTTTCTTTCTTTCTTTCTTTCTTTCTTTCTTTCTCCAACCATATCTCTGGTGATTCATTCTAAATTTTTTGTTTGTTTCTTCTTTCTTTCTTTTACACGCACTCATACCATAGCCCTATTGATTCTTTCTTTCTTTCTTTCTTTCTTTCTTTCTTTCTTTCTTTCTTTCTTTCTTTCTTTCTTCTCAATCTCTGTTGATTCTTTCTTTCTTTCTTTCTTTCTTTCTTTCTTTCTTTCTTTCTTTCTTTCTTCTACCATATTTCTGTTGATTCTTTCTTTTTTCGTTCTCTTACACATTCTCCTACCAGACGCCTATTGATTCATTTCAGATTCTTTCTTTCTTTCTTTCTTTTCTTTCTTTCTTTCTTTTTCTTTCTTTCTTTCTCCGACCATATCTCTGGTGATTCATTTCTAAATTTTTTTGTTTGTTTCTTCTTTCTTTCTTTTACACGCACTCATACCATAGCCCTATTGATTCTTTCTTTCTTTCTTTCTTTCTTTCTTTCTTTCTTTCTTTCTTCAACCATATCTCTGGTGATTCATTCTAAATTTTTTGTTTGTTTGTTTGTTTGTTTCTGTCTTTCTTTCTTTTACACGCTCTCATACCATAGCCCTATTGATTCTTTCTTTCTTTCTTTCTTTCTTTCTTTCTTTCTTCTACCATATTTCTGTTGATTCTTTCTTTTTTTCGTTCTCTTACATTCTCTACCAGACGCCTATTGATTCATTTCAGATTCTTTTCTTTCTTTCTTTCTTTCTTTCTTTCTTTCTTTCTTTCTTTCTTTCTCCAACCATATCTCTGGTGATTCATTCTAAATTTTTGTTTGTTTCTTCTTTCTTTTTTTTTTTGCACTCATACCATAGCCCTATTGATTCTTTCTTTCTTTCTTTCTTTCTTTCTTTCTTTCTTTCTTTCTTTCTTTTCATTCTTTCTTTCTTTCTTTCTTTCTTCTACTCTATCTCTGTTGATTCTTTCTTTTTTCTTTCTTTCTTTCTTTCTTTCTTCTACCATATTTCTGTTGATTCTTTCTTTTTTCGTTCTCTTACACATTCTCCTACCAGACGCCTATTGATTCATTTCAGATTCTTTCTTTCTTTCTTTCTTTCTTTCTTTCTTTCTTTCTTTCTTTCTTTCTTTCTTTCTTTCTCCGACCATATCTCTGGTGATTCATTCTAAATTTTTTGTTTGTTTCTTCTTTCTTTCTTTTACACGCACTCATACCATAGCCCTATTGATTCTTTCTTTCTTTCTTTCTTTCTTTCTTTCTTTCTTTCTTTCTTTCTTCTACTATCTCTGTTCTTTCTTTCTTTTTTCTTTACAGTTCTTTCTTTCTTTCTTCTACCATATTTCTGTTGATTCTTTCTTTTTCGTTCTCTTACACATTCTCCTACCAGACGCCTATTGATTCATTTCAGATTCTTTCTTTCTTTCTTTCTTTCTTTTCTTCTTTCTTTCTTTTTTCTTTCTTTCTTTTCTTTCTCCAACCATATCTCTGGTGATTCATTCTAAATTTTTTGTTTGTTTCTTCTTTCTTTCTTTTACACGCTCTCATACCATAGCCCTATTGATTCTTTCGTTCTTTCTTTCTTTCTTTCTTTTTTTCTTTCTTTCTTTCTTCTACCATATTTCTGTTGATTCTTTCTTTTTTCGTACTCTTACACATTCTCCTACCAGACGTCTATTGATTCATTTCAGATTCTTTCTTTCTTTCTTTCTTTCTTTCTTTCTTTCTTTCTTTCTTTCTTTCTTTCCCTACCATTTCTTTCTTCCTTTTCCCCTACCATATCTTGATCTTTCTTTTTTTTCTTTCTGTTTCTTTTCCAAATCTATGTAATTAGAAATATTTTTTCGATGACACATCATTTAATGAGTCTATATAAGTCATACAATGACAGAATGTAAAAGTAACACCGAAATATCAATATTTGATTAACAAACCCGAAAATCTTGGGGCACAAGTCTCCTCCCTCTTATCATTTCATCTCGATATGGACTTTTAGTAATTTACTTTTGCCAGAAAATTTATGGGCAACACAATGACATCGACTTTCAGCTTCTTTCATTAATGTAACAACTTATATTTATTTATGCGTAAATCTCTCTGTTTCTTGTTTAGACTAAAGTGTGCTCGATAATAAAATATGACGCCTAACGAGTTTTATTACATAATAAGGATCCAAGCAATTTGACCAATTGGAGGTGAGTGCAATAAACGAGGTACTATTGGAACATATCCCGCCTAGACCTAACGAAATAACGCCATGACAGCAGCACAAGGGAAATTCACGAAGTTTTCATTCATTCATTCGTTCTTTCTTTCTTTCTTTCTTTCTTTTACCATATCTCCGTTGTTTGTTTGTTTGTTTGTTTCTTTCTTTCTTTCTTCTACCATGTCCCTGGGGATTCATTTCAAATTGTTTGTTTGTTTGTTTTTTCTTTCTTTTTTTGTTTCTTTCTTTCTTTTACACACACTCTTACCATATCCATATTGATTCTTTCTTTCTTTCGTTCTTTCTTTCTTTCTTTCTTTCTTTTACCATATCATCGTTGATTGTTTGTTTGTTTCTTTCTTTCTTTCTTTCTCCTACCATATCTCTGTTGATTGTTTGTTTGTTTGTTTCTTTCTTTCTTTCTTCTATCATGTCCCTGGTGATTCCTTCCAAATTGTTTGTTTGTTTTTTTCTTTCTTTTTTGTTTGTTTCTTTCTTTTACACACACTCTTACCATATCCATATTGATTCTTTCTTTCTTTCGTTCTTTCTTTTTTTCTTTCTTTCTTTTTTTCTTTCTTTCTTTTTTCTTTCTTTCTCCTACCATATCTCTGTTAATTCTTTTTTTTCCTTCTTTCTTTCTTTCTTCTACCATGACTCTGGTGGTTCATTTCAAATTGTTTGTTTCTGACCAATTGGAGGTGAGTGTAATAAACGAGGTACTATTGGAACATATCCCGCCTAGACCTAACGAAATAACGCCATGACAGCAGCACAAGGGAAATTCACGAAGTTTTCATTCATTCATTCGTTCTTTCTTTCTTTCTTTCTTTCTTCTACCATATCTCTGTTAATTCTTTTTTTCCTTCTTTCTTTCTTTCTTCTACCATGACTCTGGTGGTTCATTTCAAATTGTTTGTTTCTGACCAATTGGAGGTGAGTGTAATAAACGAGGTACTATTGGAACATATCCCGCCTAGACCTAACGAAATGACATCATGACAGCAGCACAAGGGAAATTCAAAAAGCATGGAAAGGCATGCTATAAGAAAACTATGCAAACACTTCAATATTTCTTTACAGGAAAGTAAATTTGGACTTCCGTTTTACAACCTGTACAAGCCGGAAGTATTTCAACGTAAACGTTTGTTTAACGGCATATCAACTCGTTATGGGTCATTTAACATATTGGCTTTACCGGTGGCGTAATGTTTAGCGACTCGGAACAGAGTTCGAATTCCTGTCGTGTTAGTTGCCCACACTTTCGCACAAATATCCTTGGAGAAAGTATATATTCATCTCGTCGTCTATATTGGATGGAAACAAATTAAGGAGAAGAACAGCAATTCCAAAACCTGAGGAAGTTTGGGGACCTGGTATTCAATTCTACCCAAAAGAGAGAATGGCTCTGCACAAGCCTTCGCCACCATAATAAAATATGAGGATGAGTACTTATTATTGGACCGAAGGATCCATCACACACGTACATTTAGGTAAGTATAGAATGCTATCCGAACAAAAGAGGAAGTAATAAGAAGCTATCTCTATTAAAAAATTGAAACCAACCCTTAATAAAATTAATTAGGAAGACTGCACAAATATTTTAAAATGTTTACAGTGGATAGTTTAAAATATATACGTTTTAACTAATAGCTTTAATTTGTTGTTTTTTTAATATCTAGACATTTCAATAACTTAGTTATTGACGTTTGTCGTGTGTTTACAATAATTAAAAATTGTACAGTACATAACATGAGCGTTTTTCAATTCACAAGTAAAAAGTTAATTTTCAGATGAATACAACAATTTTGTCATAAAGACATAATAAACATAATAATTTTTTGTTTTAGAAAAAACAAGACCCTGATGATGACATTGTGCTAATGTCGAAAGTACTTGGAATAAAATTAATATGAATCAACATGGTAATTTTCTTTCTTTCTTTAATAAGGATACTAAGAAACTTGTTCGTAATTATGAGAGGATCCTATTAAAAATTAGTAGACAAAACTTTATATATATATATATATATATATATATATATATGCGTGTGTGTGTTTAGGCAGAGTGTCTTCATATATAGTCACATTTTAGTCACTTTGTTCGCGATGCACTGGCTGACATCTACCATGACAGATGGGTAGGTAGGGGAGGACGTCCCCCCCAACGTTAATTCTTTGGATTTTTATCTGTAGGGATGCCTAAAACAATTGGTTTATGCAGCAGACATTAATAATGCAGAGACGCTTCATCAACGTGTCACGGGTGTCTGCGAAGCCATTCGACACCGTGTGGGAGTATTTGAAAGGGTCCGCCAGTCAATGATCTGACGGGTGCGGGTTTAGAAACAAGCGGAGGACATTTTGAACATTTGTTATGAGTTGGGGATATATTTTACCAAGTTTAGGTGTCAGAAACCCGATCCTTAAGTTTGTAAAAGTGTTTTTGGATTGCACATTTAAGAGCGTCTATCATAAAGTTCCTTTAAACTTAGTAACTCAGAAACGAAGGATTCGCAGACATATTTTTATATAGACTTTTGTCCTTGTTTTGGTGCGAGCAACCGCCCCGCAAACTTTGTAAAAATATTAATCATATATATATATATATATATATATATATATATGTGTGTGTGTGTGTGTGTGTGTGTGTGTGTGTGTGTGGGGGCACAGTCCTATGGTTAGAGAGAACGCAGTATGGTTCCACCACGGAATATGTGAGCGAGCGGCGCTATGTTGAGTCTGATTTGCCCATTGAATCAGTTGGTATGATGTTTGCTTGACAACCTAACTGTCAGGGTTTCAATTCTCGGTAGTGGATGCGCACTGCTGATGAGTCCCAAATATAGGACGAAACGGCCGTTCAGTGCTTTCTGCATTCTGTTGAGGTTTCTATCAGATTCGATGAATTAATTAAATATATACATATATATATATATATATATATATATGATTATTACAATTTTTTAAAATTAATTTGTTGAGGTTTATTCTAGATTCGATGAATTACTTAATTATAATTACCTCAAATCCTCCTAATTTCTATCACTTGTATATCCTTGCTTGAACCGGCTACTAATACTCTGGGTGGAGCGGCTTGGGAATAGTAGCCGTGGATCGTGGGGGCACAGTCCTCTGGGTAAAAGAGAAACTCGGATGAGTTCCACCAGAGAGTATGTGATCGAGCAGCGCTATATCGAGTTTGATTCGCTACCTCTTCGTCAGCGAGGCCCGTTGGAACAATTCGCGGTAGTGTATGCGCACTGCTGATGAAGTCCCAAACACGAGATGAAACGGCCGTCCAGTGATTTCTGCGTTCTGTTATGGTTTCTACTAGACTCGATGGATTACTTAATTATATATATATAGGGATCAAATATTGAGTCGAATTCGAGAGAATGATAGGATAAAGGAAAAGTTTATTAAATCTAATGTTTCGCTTTCATTAAAGCTTCGTCAGAGAAAAAAATATGGAGGAGAGAGAAAATTCTGGCGTTTTTTATTTTATGGTTGCAGGAAGATTAATTTTAGATTCTTTAAGTATGCCCAGGATATCCTACGTACACGGTATTTACTCATTCCCCCACGAGAATGTGATGTGACACAAGGTCGGATTAATGCGGGGACCCGAGCTCGTGCACTCGGGCAGGGTCAAAAATTCCCCTCAGCCCCCGTAACCGTCGGTTGCGCTGGCCTCGGTACGAGCACCGATCCCTCCCTCTGGTGCAATGGGAGGGCGCGACCTCGGGCAGTTGTTCCCCAGGGCTGGGCACCTCTCAGTATTATTTTATCAGTTGCCCCTCTGTCCTTTGACAGAGAAGCCCCTGAGCGCACTCTGCCCAAAGACATTTTTCTTTTTATGTGCCGTGTCCTTTCAGGACGTAGACGATCATAGCTCTCCACTTCCTCCTATCCCTTGTAGTTTTCAATAAGTTTTGTCCCTCTGTCACCTCCCCAAGACCATGTTTTGTCATCCACTTGCTCAAGCCCGCTAGGTATGATATGCGTTGCTTTTCCTTGTCTGTCTTTCCCTCTATTCGAACTGTGAGTATCAGATTCTTCAAGCCCTTCTTTCTCATTACGTATAGTATAAATTTTAAATTTTAGCTCTGCTGTTATACAATGATCACTCTTTTATCAACATCAACACTCACTGATCGATACTTTATATTTATATATATATATATATATATAAACTGTGATCAAATATGGAGTAGAATCCGAGAGAATAAAAATAGGATAAAAAACAAATAGGAAAAGTTTATGAAATTTAACATGTTTCGCTTTTATTAAAGCTTCGTCAGAGAATGAAATATGGAAGAGAGAAGAAGGTATTTTTATTTTTGTATGGCTTGTTTTCCTTTACTTAAGCAGACCCCACGTGTATTCGTTCTGCTCGTTAGTGTGGCATTCATGTGGATAATTCTTTTATGTATTCGTGTCTTAATTCTAGTTTTTTTTGTGCTGGAATCGGTTGAGAATCGTTCGCGTGCGTCTAGTGGGCATTTTTATTTATATCTGGTAAAATCCGTGTTGTTGATTGAGAGAGTGAAAAAAAATACGTTACACCAGTTATTGTTGGCGAAAGATTAATCTGAGATTCTTTAAGTATGGATTTTATAAATGACGGTCTTATACTAAAATGTGTTTGGCGTGTGTTTATTGATGGTAAAATATTTATCAGGGTTCCTTCGAGGTATTTTCTACATAATAAATTGTGTTCTTTTCTTACCAGGTAACATTTATTAAGTCGAAGTCATGGCCTGTCTTATTTCTGTTACAAGAGAATTTAAACGTTTGTTGCAACGTAAGTCTCTCTTAGTATTAACTCTTTCCCCCCACTTGGACGAGATGTGACACAAGGTCTTATTTAGATCGGGACCCAGGAACGTACGCCCAGGACAAGGACAAAAATTGCCCTCAGCCTCCGCAACCGTCAGTTGCGCTGGCCTCGGTGCGTTCACCGATCCCTCCCTCTGCTGCAATGGGATGTCGCGGCCTCGGACAGCTGTTCCCCAGGGCTGGGCGCCTCTCAGTATAATTTTATCAGTTGCCTCTCTGTCCTTTGACAGAGAAGCCCTTGAGCGCACTCTGCCCAAAGACAGAGACGCAACTGAGAGATGATAAGCCTGCGTTGAAAATCCTTCCAAAGAGGAATTTATACGCTATATATCTTATATTCTGTAGATGCGGGTTTTAAGATTTCTAGAAGTTTCGCCAATGTACCTTTGGTGGCAATGCTGGCCTTTATATACAGGGTGCGATGTGTAAATTGTCGCCATTTTATATTTTTAATTTTGCGCATGCAGTGTATCTGTAAAGAAATGATATTTAGTAGTGCGGCCAGCTTTATGATGAACTGTATCTCATGGGGTCCACTGTCTGAAAAATATTGCCCATGCCTGAGCTAAAGAAAGGATCGTTCGTATTGGTTCAATGATTCCGACTACAGTCAAATAATGATGATGAGTTTAACGGAGCCCACAAATCTTGTCCAACACTAATTTCATCAGTCGAGAAAATCTACCAGCAAAACACACGCGTCACATATTCTGTCTCCAACATTTATTTCTCATCTTTTGTCTATATTATTCTTTAAATCTCTTCAGAGAAAAATGAATTTCGCCCGCTTGTCTTCCTCCTCGCATAGCGACATCCAGAAAACCCGGCCAGTTCGTAACAGACCAGTTGTGACGGCTTTTGTTCCGTTTGTGTATTTAACAGGACACATTTTTCTGCATATTCATGACGATTGAGTCATGTCATTTTGTTTACAATCACAGTTATGGACAAGCGGTATGATCCGTGAATACTTTTTCATCAAAAACCTCGTTCGCCTGTCTTTTTCAGTATGTCTACATTATAGGAAATTAGTCCGTATTGATTAAACATGCGCACAATCGGTGCAATCCTGTGTCACTTTCTCTGTGTGCGTCAGTGTGAGTGTCTGTGTGTCTTTCACTGTCTACCTTTTCTGCTGTGCGTCGGATTCTGGCCGTTCGTAGCCTGCTAGTAGCGAATCATCATCATATAATTTCGCTTCGGCCTCCCTCCCTTAGGTAGTTAGCACGTACGAGAGTGGGCTGAAAAGTTCATAGGCTGAAGGAGTGATGCTAGAACTGTGAAATCTGGCATGCATTCATTTCAGCTCTTCTTATTAATAACTGCATTGCTTCTTCCAGGTATGAGGATTGGCTGAAAAGTTCATAAGCTGACTATGAAGGAGTGATGCTAGAACTGTGAAATCTGGCCTGCATTCATTTCAACTCTTCTTATTAATAACTGCATTGTTTCTTTCCTGGTACGTTATTATTATCATTAGTTGGTCCTTGCACCCCGTATCTCTTACATCTCTTCTGTCCTGCTGGGAGTAAACACTGTTTTTCTCAAGGAAGTTGTATGTATTCCCTGTTATAATAGAAGTGAGGATCTTATTATTATTATTTCCTTCCCTTTGATTTTTTTCTTTCCGGGTCCCGACGACAGATTTAAAGTCAGAAATGGCATCATGACACTTTCCACTTAGCATTTTGAAAAAATAAAAATAACACATCTTTTTACATAGATAAAGCTGTTATAATAATTATTATTATTACTATTATTATTATTATTATTGTAATCTAGGGAAGGTCACTGAATAGAACAATCACACGAATGTTGGTAATGAACGATAATACTTAGGACACGAACAACACATATAAGATTCGCCAGCGGCGCGTAGAAGTGTTTAACTGCTAGAAGTGACTCAAATGAATTCCACAATGAATCTCCAACTGCAAGATATCTACCAACCGTCCCACGCGGTCAGATATGGAACAAGGCTGAATTTAATGTGGGGCATCCGAGCACGTCGGATCGGCCAAAAATTCTCCGTATAAAACAGGGTCGAGTAGCTGCTTCCCGAGACGAGACTCTGCCCTTCGACATAGCCTCGTCTGGGGATCCTCTCTGCCCAGAAGCAGAGAGTTTGACCAGCATAGCTAGAGACGAATCTCCGACTGCAGACTAACATACAGTATTTACTACTGTATTTATGTGAATAGGGACATAACCATTATCGTCCGTAGATATGTTACAACATATACATTGTAGCCAAATTCCCATTTTATGAACATTTCTCTTAATAATAATTTTTAATAATTTAAAAATAATTCAGCATTTTATTTATGGTAACCGGATTTTTGGCGATTGCCTTAGTCGGTTTCTGTCATTCGATACTGTGCGTCTAAAAAATGGCGCTTTTATCGTAGTCGTCATAGCTTCTCGGCCTATTGGCTAAGATCAAAATATAGTATCGATTCTTATCAGCTTAATCTGATTCTCTATATATATATCTCTCTCTCCACTTATATCTTCTCTTCTTTCTTTATTTCTTTCTTTCATTTTCTTACTGAAACCAAGTTGTATATGTCCCCCTCTTTCTTACGGGATCAAAATGCGGAATAGTCCCTTATTTATGGGGTACTGTCAGGTGACGTTAAAAACTTATTTCTTTGTTGCTTTTTTTTCTCACTGGAGCTAAGTAGTATTTATTCCCCTCTTTCAATTCGATCAAAACGGAATAAATTATGAGTTATTGGTAGGGCGTAACGGTCGTGCGAGGTATCGTAGAGAGAAACAAGCACACATAATAGGATAACAGTAATTACATCGACGCTTCATCGAAGCGTGGTGGGGGTCCTTAAGTATGAGAAATAACCTTGCGAGTTGAGAAATTCAAATTAGCAGTAATATGGTGTGATTAACTGTTTCCATAGAGAAAACATTTGACATTCATTGATTGAACAGTTGTAGTACAAAGGGTTCAAGGCAGTCACGAGGTCAAGTGGGCTGTAAATGATTTTGTTTGTGCCAGGAGTACCAGCGGTTTTTGAGTCGACCAATAGTAAAATCGAGAAAATAGGAAAAAATAATAATAAATAAATAAAAACTTTCGGTACCAAGTGTCACTAGATCGGAAGGTAGGGAATCCGATTACCTATAGGCTTATATAAAATTAAGCCGTATTCTAGATAAGAGCCAGAGTCACAAAGCGAGCAGAGGGACAAGCCGTCCCTCGTGATGTACAGCAGGGCAGAGAGGCGGCCGAAAGAGTCGACAGTCAGAGGGAAGGCACAAGATGAATAAGCAGTTGCAGTTAGATATAGGCAGTGGAGTCCTCTTGAAAATTTATTACTTTAAATATTTATAGAAGTGGACGTGTGTGTGACATAGAGAAATTTTATACGTTTAAAATATTATTACACACAGTTTATAGGAGAAAAGATTCGTGGTTTTCTTTTCGCTTTATCTTTTTAAAATACAGTGGATATGCAATATTATTGGTCTTGCCTTGGTATCTCGGCTCCAGTTACTTTCCATACGCTCTATCGTAGCTTCCCCCGTGCTTTTTCTACAAATATTTTCCAGGTAATTGTTTGGATGAAATTTTCTCTATACTACGTAGAATTTATGATTTTAAGCGCAGTACTAGTTTGGCAGCAAGGTCTCATCATTTTAGAGTTGAAATGGCTAGATGGAACCGTAAGTTCTATGCTATGAGTTTCTTCTTTCGTACGTATTGCCTGTGGAACACTCTTCTGGTTCCATGTTTTCCAGCCAACTTTGATCTTAAATTTAAATGCAACATCAATCGTTATCTTCTGTTTTCATAATTACCGTTTTTTTATTTATCACTCTTCTTAATAATGATTTTTCCTCATATTCTCTCATACTCAGTTATCCCTTGTGTCTTAGTGGCTTTATTGCCTTGTTTGTGGTGAAATGATTATAACACGTTTGATTAACAATTTAGTTATGTTTATGTGTAAATTTATATATATATATATATATATATATATATATATATATATATATATATATTATTTCACTCTAAATTATTAATATAATAAATAATTCTTCCGTATTAGATAAGACGATAAACTACATCTGACAGAAAGGCCTCTGATCAGGAGGTTTTGAGGAGCGTGGAACCACCTCTTAATTGCTGATGTTCACTGGTCCAACCTAATTCGGGGTGGAAGGATTTGTTAGGGGCCCATCTATGGGCAAATAGTTGACCTCCAAACCGGGGTCAAAACGTGGTGAAAGTGTAAAAATAGATTTTAATACCAGCAATACATTTTTGAGGAGAAAATTATTATCAGGAATAGATTTTTGAAAAGAAAATTTTTACCCGCAATACTTTGTTGAAGAAAGATTATTACCAGCAATACAGGTTTGAATGAAAAATTATTATCAGCAATACTTTGTTGAAGGAAAAATTATTATTATCAGCAATACATGTTTGAAGGAAAAATTATTGCCAAAAATACTTTATGAGGGGGAAATTATTAACAGCAATACATTTTTGAAGGAAAAATTATTGTCAGAAATACTCTTTTGAAGGAAAATTATTACCAGCAATACATTTTTGAAGGAAAATTATTACCAACAATACTGGTTTGAAGGAAAAGTTATTACCAGAAATACTTTTTTGGAGGAAAATTATTACCAGCAATACATTTTTGAATGAAAAAAATATTAACAGAAATACTTTTTTGAAGGAAAATTATTACCAGCAATACATTTTTGAAGGAAAAAATATTACCAGGAATACATTTTTGAAGGAAAATTATTACCAACAATACTGGTTTGAAGGAAAAGTTATTACCAGAAATACATTTTTGGAGGAAAATTATTACCAGCAATACATTTTTGAATGAAAAAATATTAACAGAAATACTTTTTTGAAGGAAAATTATTACCAGCAATAATACATTTTTGAATGAAAAAATATTAACAGAAATACTTTTTTGAAGGAAAAATATTAACAGAAATAAAAATCTTGTCGGCATTAAATAACCCATTGAGTAAAACAAAACAAAACAAGCCAAAAAAATCGTCTGCTGGCATTAAATAATTCTTTATGGTTGATATGGCATAAAACAAAGCAAGCGAATTCAAACGAAATCAAATAATTCGTTTTGTTGAACTTGACCGTGAGAGAAACACTCATTTGAAATGGCTGGAGGTGATACATTAATAGTTGTACAAGAAATGAAAGAAGGAAACAAAGAAATGCGGACAAAATAAAGATAAAATTTTAAGAATTGTCGAAATAATCTTTAACACATTTGAAAAGACTTTTAGTAAACTTGCTTTGAAATTACGGGAATGTCATCTGGCGTTGGAATTATCCAACAATCCGTAAAATCAAGATTGGACAAGAAAATGATTTCCTTTGGCAAAATATAGATTTTTTTCTCCAGGGATAATTAGAAAGCACTTTTTAAGTTTTTTTTTCTTTATGTATCTACTTGGCTAATGTAATGGTTGCATTTAGAGTAGTTCATCTATCTATCTATCTATCTATCTATCTATCTATCTATCTATCACAGTCTGTTCATACATATTTAAATTTTATCATCCTTCTCTCTATCTATCAATCCCAGTCTATTCATACATATTTAATTTTTTCATCTATCTATCTATCTATCTATCTATCTATCTATCTATCTATCTATCTATCTTAATCTATTCATCTATCTATTTCTCTATCTCTCCATCTCCCTCTCTCTCCATACACCTCTCTCTCTCCATACACCTCTCTCTCTCCATACACCTCTCTCTCTCTCTCTCTCTATATATATATATATATATATATATATATATATATATATATATATATACACACACACACACACACACACATACATATATATGTATATCCGTTTTATGTTTTTCATTTAACTGATACCTTCATTTGAAATAGATTTCTAAATGTCTTCAGCTCCCTCAGCTGAAGCTTTGAAGCCAAGATGCACTCCTACATTCCAAAGTGCTTCCTTCCGGCCGCACTAGATTCGACAGTTTCATACGGCGTACGACTTACGATGCTGCGCGATCAAATCTGCGTTCGCAGAAGGAAATGGCGCGTACATTGGTCTTTGCTTCAACAGGGTGAACAGGTCTCAGAAGCGTCAGGAAGCCGTCCACAAAACTCCGATGACAGATAATGTGACAAGTTAGTCTTACTATGACTGCTAGAAGCGAAGTAAAACTAAATGCGAAGGGGTGTGTCGGGGGGTCTGGAAATTTACACAAACACTGCTTTATTATATTCGTGAAGCTTAGCTCCTCGGGATCTGTCTGCCATGCAGCACCCCCTACTTCATTATAAGGTGCATGTACAGAGTATATTTGTGAAAAGAAACTAGAATTAATTACGGTAAAATATAAAACACTAATTCATTTACATTTTTTAACAAAGTTGCAATAGATGTATGATCTTATTATAATTGTAAAATTAGTCGTTTTCATGCAAGAAACATTTGGCATTTATTGCTGTTTATTGACTGAACAGTTAATGTCAGTCTATTTTTCTGAGATGAGGTATTATGTACATTATTTACATTATTTGGACTATTGTCCTCATCTTTGTCGCCATATTTATTACAACGTTTCGGCCGTTGTACACTCCGGCTTTCTTCAGGTGGTTGGAATTTCAAACTGAACCCTTTATTTCGCTCACTGGGGTAGACTGTTCTAGTTCAAGAACACCAGAAAGCTGTAACGCGAGGGGAAGTAGAAAAATCAGGCGTGGCCGACCACATATGGAGAGAGAAGGGAGATCACCGCCCTCTGTGGGATCATGTTGAGATCATAGACAAGGAACACCATTGGAAAATTCGTAAACTTAAGGAATCAGCACATATGCTAGGCCACAAAAATCTCCTGTGCCAACCAAGCATAGAAATAAATACAATATGGGGACCAGTAATAAGGAGTGCCAGAGAAAAGCAATGATAACAAAGTTGTAATATGAGCTCTGGTAAAAACATGAATTGATAACAGCAAAATTGCAATATGAGCACTGGTATAAATGGTTGCTGAAGACATTAGGTTTATAATACCCAGAAATTCATACCCAGATGTCCTCAAGGACACATGGCACAGTGGATAAAGGCGTTGGTTAGATCCAGTGACAGGACCCAAAGAGTTCAATACCCCGTTTAAGGCAGTGGAGAACTTTCAGAGCGAAATTAGCAGGAGATAACTGATAACTGACATCCATCAAAACATGGCACGTGGAACTAGAACAGTCTACCCCAATGAGCGAAATAAAGCTTTCAGTTCGAAATTCCAACCACCTGAAGAAGGCCGGGGCGCACAACGGCCGAAACGTTGTGATAAATATGGCGACAAAGATGAGGACAATACTTCGAATAATGTAAATAATGTACAGTTAATGTCAGTTGATTTTTTATATAAATTTTTCTCTTGAATCAGCTTTTCAGGAAAATTGGCTTCTTAAGTTCACTCAAAAGCTAGATAGAATATTAAGAAACAGATAAACTTCGTTAGAAACAAAGAAGAAGACAGGCGGTTATATCATCGTTAGGTCGAATCAGAGGACATATTGGATATGCAGCTAGAGAGACTGCGAGTTCCAAAGTTATTCATTTACCCAAAAGAAGTAATGTGGCCTTGGAGCGAACTTCAACTACAGTAACAACGGCAACAGCTTCAGCTTCCGTATCAGAGGCTGAATCAGAGAGTTAATATGAAGTTCTGAAGAATAAACCCCAAGAAATAGGAAGAATTACAGCAAAACCAAAACTGTAACCAATTTAGCAGCATTTTCAAACTTATTGTCATATAGGAAGAAAATGAGTAACTACCCACACTGAGGTTCGAGCGTGACACTCTGGATTTATGAAGATATGTTTTCCGCCAGGTGTATAATTAGTGGTGTCAGGCTACTGACTATAGTGAGTATTGAGTGACTGTTGAGTGGAACTATCCAGTCGAATTAGTGTGAATTATTGTGCGTCGATGATTTGAGTTTTGATTTAGGATTTACCGGACGTTAAGCCGAGCCGCGCTACTAACAAAATATTACACTGAAATGATTAATTATCTTTAGTTGACTTTTACTTCTTTGTTCTTGTTAAGTATTTATTTGCGGTTGTAATTAAATACTGTTTTATCTTAACATTGAAGTCTTGAGTTATACTTAATTATTTACTGTCACTGTATGTCACAAAAAATAACATATAGTTCTACAGAAGGAAATAACGTAAGGCGGATGAGATAACATATGGTAAATTCTCTGAGCGTTCCCACATCTAAAAATCCATACCTTTTGTCCATATACATTCTAAGTAGTTTTTTTTTTAGTTTTTTTTTTACAGTAACGTTCTCCGTGTAGAAGGCCCGGGAGCCACTCGAGGTAGAGGTTATGTTTATATGTATAGGAGGGTTTAGTTTATATGTATAGGAAGGGAAGATAACAGTTAACTCTAGACTTGAACAGGTTAAGATTTTAGTGATAGGGGAAAATCCCCTTGGGAGTCTGTTCCACAGAGTAGTGGTTCATGGGAAGAAGATACTACTGTGTAAACTAGTCACTACGATTCTCCTGGGTGCCCCATTATTGTCGTCCTGGACAAAACTAAGCTCAGCTTAGTAACAAATAACAGGAATCATCATAAGGTAATGGTTAATGAGTTAGTACTGAGCTATTACTGAGTAAATTAATGAGTTCGATCCTCATTGGGTGCCCGATTCTTGTGGTTTTGAACCAAACTAAGCTCAGCGTAGTAACAAATAACAGGAGAAATCAGCATAGGGTAATGGTTAACGAGTTAATCTAGTTGACTGCTACTACTGATGAAAGTAGTGAGTTCGATTTTTACTGGGTGGCCCATAATGGTAGTCTAGCGTCAAGCTCAGCTTAGTGTGGGGTAATGGTTAACGAGTTAATTGCGTTGATTTTTACTACTGAGTTTTAAAGTAATGAGTTTGATCCTCAGTCAGTGCTCCATACTTGTGGCCTTGAGCCAAACTTAATGAAGCTTATAAATAACAGGATGACTCGACGTTGGATAAAGAGTTAGTCTTGTTGGCTCCTGAAGTAATGAGATCGATCTTCACTGAGTGCTCTGAACTTGTCGCCATGTGCCAAACTCAGCTAAGCGTAATAAATAACAGGGGCCTTGTCGTGAGATCATAGTTAACGAGTTTGTGTTTGTACTGAGTAGTGAGTTTGATCCATGCTGAGTGCTCTATAATCGTGACCTTGTACCAAACTGAGCAACCATTAGTAAGTAATTACAAACGATAAAGGCTCGACTGCGTAAAATATACTTGCAATTTGGTTGTCATATTGCGCTAGAATTTAAGACCACAATGTAAAAAAAAAAATAAAAAAGGACAAAGAAGAATTGTGGATCCCTCTGCAGACGACAGAAGGCACGTCCTTAGAAAGAATCTCCATTATCGATTATAATTCTCACGTCCAAAGAACGAATCTTTCGTATTACTTTCCGGTATTTTTTTTACATTTTTTGTTTGTTTGTTTGTTTTTCCCCTTTCTGTGAAATTCAGTCTTCGGTCCTTCCTTTTCATATGCAAGTTAAGTCCGAATTTGATTTCAGCTTTGCCGGATGCCAGTCCGAGGCTAAACAACAAAAACAACAACAACAACAACAACAATAATAATAATGATAATAATAATAATAATAATAATGATAATAATGGTATCAGAGGTTTTGCATTATTTATAAAAAATAAAGGTAGGGGGTCAAATACAACGACAAGAAAATCGTAAAACAAACAAAAGAAAAGGAAAATAAATCAACAAAAGAAAGAAAGAAGTAACATAATAAGATAGAATGTATTTAAAAAAAAGTAAAAAAAGATCGAAACAAGTAAATAAATATAAAAGATAGATATAGAAAGAAAGAAAATCGTGGGAGAAATGATTAGCATAGATAGATAGATAGATAGATAGATAAAGAAAAAGAAAGAAAGAAGTAAATAAAAAAGAATAAAAAGAACAGGAATGAAATAAAAAGAAAGAAAAGTAACGAGACAAAGAAAAAGAAAGAAATTGAATGAGAAAAAAAATAAAAGAAAAAGTACGAGACAAAGAAAGAGAAAGAAATTGAAACGAAAGAAAAGGAACGAGACAGAGAAAGAAAGAAAGAAAGAGAAAGAAAGATATTGAAAGAGAAAATGAACGATACAAATAATGAGAAAAAAGAAAAAATTAAAAAAGAAAAGGAACGATACAAAGAAAAAGAAAGAAAGAAGAAAGAAATTGAAAAAAAAGAAAAGGAACGATACAAATAAAGAGAAAGAAAGAAGGAAAGAAAGAAAGAAGAAAGAAAGAAATTGAAAAAAGAAAAGGAACGATACAAAGAAAGAGAAAGAAAGAAAAAGAAAGAAAGAAAGAAAGAAGAAAGTAATTGAAAAAGAAAAGGAACGATACAAAGAAAGAGAAAGAAAGAAAGAAAGAAGAAAGAAAGAAATTGAAAAAAGAAAAGGAACGATACAAAGAAAGAGAAAGAAAGAAAGAAAGAAAGAAGAAAGAAAGAAATTGAAAAAGAAAAGGAACGATACAAAGAAAGAGAAAGAAAGAAAGAAAGAAAGAAAGAAAGAAAGAAAGAAAGAAGAAAGAAAGAAATTGAAAAAGAAAAGGAACGATACAAATAAAGAGAAAGAAAGAAGGGAAGAAAGAAAGAAGAAA